TGCTTTGATATTGGAAATATCAAACTCAAGGTCTCTTTCCTCGTTTCTTAATATCCGTACATTTATCGTGGCAAGGATTAGTGCATTGGATCGTATTTATATTCTGGAAGTAATATGTTTGGTTTAGTGTTCAATTTATTTTTATTTTTTCTGATATCTTTAGTTTATCATATCAATGTTCATATTTCATATGTTCTCTATTCTAGTTATTGCATTTGTAAATTTGCCCCAGTATTCTTACTTCTCGTCGATTTGTGTTTTTTAGTATCCTATCCTAACAAATTTTCCTTTAATTCGTTCTTCCTGCGCCATTTTCCAGATCTCTGTTCGTCAGGTCCACGTCCTGACGGGGTGATACAGGGACGGCACTCAAGTATTGCTTTCTTTCACCAGTCATCTTTATCATCCTCATCGTTCATTCTCGTTCTTTGAAAACATCCTCTTTTCTCGAACCCCACTGGCACCCCCGTATGCTGAGCACCCACCCATGTATTTGCCGATCATGGCGACCCGTCTCGGAGGGAATGTGTGTCCTGGCAGTTGAGGAACCTGTTTGTTTCCCAACTACTCCATGCCCTAATCTCTGCTTTGCACGTAGGGAAACGTTATTTACGAATATTCAACACACTTGCTTTAGCCTCGGACTCTTCTAGACTAACCCACTAATCGGCTCCGACTAGCTCTTGCACTGATCTCCAGGGTGAGCGGGAGGATGCCCGGCGGGGTAGCGCTGAGACATCTCCCCACTTTATCTTGGTGTCAACCATGGCACCTCTGGGCTGTCCCCTTGTTGGGCTCCATGGTGGGTGGGGAGCACGGAATCAAATCCGCTTCAATTCTATGGAGCATGAAACAAACCCCTTGCCTTCTTCCGGAAGGAAGAGGCGATATTTTGAGAAAACGGTGGATTTGAGTAGTTTGTTCCTTAGGAAAGAAGATTAACCAAAGAAGCCACATTTAATTTTGATGGCGTGCCCAGAAGAAGGGAAAACATTCAAAAGTATTTGTGTATTTCGTCTCGCGCGAGCAATTGAGGACAGTTTCGGTAAACTGCAAGCGGTGGTGCGTCAGAGGAATGGTGTTCTCTTCGAAGCGCGCAACGATGATCAAATCGAAAAAATCTCGAAAAAACAGATGGCCGGCCTCCAGGTGTAAGTAATTACTCACCCTTGACCTATGTAACGGAGTGATGAATCTCGATGACTTTGCGTCCGAAAATGAACTTCTGTGTTACTTCAAGAGTCAGGGCGTAACCGAGGTGTTTAGGATTAAGAGGAAGGAGAATGGTAGAGAGATACCTACTCCCACTTTGATCTTGACGTTTAATCTCCCCTCTCTCCCAGAGAGGATTAGTTGTGGTTTCTATAATCTCCACGTGCGGCAATATGTGCCAAACCTCCGGCGTTGCTTCAAGTGTCAGAGGATCGGCCATGCCCAACAGTAGTGCATGTCCGTAAGCCCTGTTTGCGAAAGTGCGCCCCCTCAAGTAGTCTGGTGAAAAGTTCGACAGATCGGTGGAAGATTTCCGTCGCTGTCTGTCTCGGGGCTTCTGGTGAATGGAAGTATTCTCACCTCACTAGAAGATATAGTTGAAAAATTGGCCTCTCACTACGAGCATATCTCCAGCTCCTCACACAACTCTCCTAGCTTTCTGAAGACTAAAAGAAGAATGGAGAACTACAGACTAGATTTTTGGGTCGCGTGGAGGACGACTACAATACTCAATGGATGAATTTTCCTGGGTCCTTGCTTGTGCAAAAGATTATGCTCCAGGACCAGACCAGATACATGGTGAAAGGAGCGTAGCGAAATTTGCGTGGTCAGACGGAAGAGCAGGCCTAATGGCCTGAGTCTCGCCACGTAAAATAAGGCATAATTCAATTCAATTCAATTCAATTCAATACATAATCAAATGCCTAATCACCTACCGGAAAATGCTTGTTCTTTTCTCCTCCGCATTCTCAACTGGATTTGGGATTATCATTCCTTACCAAGGATTTGGTGTGAAGTCATTGTTATTCCCACCCCTAAAGAAGGAAAGGACAAAACAATCTCTTCAAGTTACCGCCCAATCTCGCTCACAAGCTGTGTGTTCAAGCTTTTAGAGCGAATGTTAAACAAACATCTGGTCTGGCTCCTGGAGCAAAGAAATCTATTTACACCTTTTCAGTGTGATTTCAAGAAGCACAGATCAACCATGGACAACATAGTCTCCCTTGCGACACATCTCCACTTTCGTGCCACGACAACACCTGGTAATATTTGTTTTGGATATAGAGAAAGCGTATGACACCACCTGGAGGTACGGCATTCTTCGCACTTTGCATTCTTGTGGCTTTAGGGGAAGGCTCCCTTCGTTTGTAGTAGATTTTCTTTCGTCAAGATCTTTCCGCGTCCGCCTTGGGGACACGTTATCCTCACGTCACCAGTTAGAAAACGATGTTCCCCTGGGATCAATTCTGAGTGTCAGTTTGTTGTTGCTATCAATAGTATCGCGTCAGTAATTCGAGAGCCTGTGCAAACATCGCTCTTCGGTGACGACTTTGGTATATTTTGCTTCTTGAAGAGCATGCAATTTAATATAATAATAATAATATAATAATAATAATAATATAATAATAATAATATAATAATAATAATAATAATGGCAGTATGTACACGTGTAAGACTGCGTATGTCAAACATAATTTTGAACGTGAGGATATGCTGTTCAGGGTGACGACGCCTATTTGTCAGCATCCGTCTCAGTGAAGCAACGGCTAAGGAAAGAAGGAAATCCCTCCTTGCACCGGCTGGACCCAACCCTTCGCGGCGGCTGTTCACGCTTAGAAATACGAGTAGAATGCTTAAAAGGAACAAAATATAAGGGTTCCGTTGCACATACGCATGTATTATTGGAGAAAAATTGGTGTAAAATGTATGTACTCGTACTTAACAATCCATGAAACTGTTATTTTCACTTCGATAACTTATTATTCGCCTAGATTTATAATTAGGAAACTATCTTTTTATTTGACTCCAAAATTCTTGATTTATTTCTGCGCTGCTGCAATATGCTATGCTGTGGTTGACAAATAGACTTCGTTTAGAATGGGCTGACAGGTTAACTAATTCTGAATGGCTGGCGTAATCGCTGTCCTTTGCTTTTCACTTCCCGCTCCGCCTCCACTTACGCTGCCGCTGTTCATACATGATCCACCAAGTCTCTCCCGTTTGTGTTCGAAGGGTAACTGGAGAGAAAGACTGTCATTTTTGGACTTATACAATTTTTAAATATGAATTTTTTGAATTGAATTGAATGTGCCTTATTTTACGTGGCGAGACTCGGGCAATCAGGCCTGCTCTTCCGTCTGACCACGCAAATTTCGCTATGCTCCTTTCATCAACTAGCAGAGAAAGGAGGTATTTCTTGGGTGAGAAACAGGCGATTTGAATTTAGCTCAGAGGCGTCATTTAGGCTTGAGGATCTTAAATCTACTAACATGGGACAGCCGGCTTTACTTCCCCTCCGAAGGAAGGCGTACGAAGGAGTTTTTTGCCCTTAAAAATCCACGGCTTCGATCGGGTTTGAACCCGTGAACTTGGGTACAACAGTCCGGCTAACCGTTACACCATCGCCGCCACAATTTTATTTTATATTTAATTTTATAGTTCTATTACAGAGAATACAAGAACGTCCGTCCCTGTTATGGCATCACTAGTGCAATAACAAACTAATATTAGATGCGTAAAATAGTTAATGCACCGACGGATCTCAGCCGGCACAAAGAGGACTCATGTCGCTTTCCTGTTTGCTTGCTCGTGCTGAAATACTTCTATCCACAAGTGGCGGTGGTTCGGTAGGGGAGGGGATCATATTTTGCCAAATTTCACCTTACGACGCACCTATTCAGCCGATTTGGACGACTGAAACGGCATTGGTTTTAGGAAGCTAGTAGCCATCGCGCCATCAGCCCGCATATTTCATTTCTTCCCAGGAATATAAAAAACAATTTGAAAAATGCCGGTCCGGATGGCCCAGATCGCTAAGGCAGTAGTGCTGTAGCAACCTCGGACCGAAGGATCGCGGGTTCGAGTCCCGCGTCGGGCATGGTTGTGTAGTGTTCGTCCTTCACCTCCTATCATCATATCGTGTCATCCTCACAGTTACCATACCGTTGCAAGCACTAGTGGTCGCTAATGTCCTAGAAGTTGATGCGACCTTAAATAACAAAACAAAACAAAATTGAAAAATGGGTTTTGGCTTTTTAAAAAAACGCTTTAAAGCGTAAATTCTGTTTTAGAAACGAATCATATGCCGTTTAAATATCGAAAATTTGATTATTTGTTCAGACGTTGTCGGTAATGTAAATTCCTTTTAATAGTGCTGCTATTGAATTTTCGTACTAAGTATTTTTCGGTACATTTAGCTGTAAGTAACACGGCATTTCAATTCTTTCACTCATAGCTTTCCCTGCCGGTTACGTTGTGTACGCCTTGAAGAGAACGCTCAGTCGTGTCGCGTTGTTCTTACAAGACTCCGGATTATAAGATCTGAGAGCAGAAGACCATGTTTTACCGTGTACGTGACATGGCCTTTCTCTGTACAGCCACTTTTTCCATTTATAAATTTACGTTTTTACGTATATTTTTGTAAATATGTCAGTGACAGGAACAGATGGTATTTGGAAATCGTAATTGGTGAAGGATTTATTCATCGTATGTTGCCAATAATATTAATTGCAATTTTAACTAGCTACTAAATGGCCGGCAAAAAGGAACCGCCCTTTATTTATCTTTTTCGAAAAATGTGAATGAACTCTCTCTACGTTAATATCTTATGTAACCTAATTCGCGCACTCTACCTGAATTTTAATGTAATAATAACAGCCAAGTGTGTGTGTGTGTGTGTGTGTGTGTGTGTGTTTTCCAGAAAATAAACAAACGCCACATATTTACTATTCGTCCTCTCATCCTTGAGTGTTATGTATGTTTATTGGTGGTTCTGCTTTGCGTTCCAGGAGACAAGTCAAGAAATCAAAATCGGTTATACAACTTCTTCTTTTTGGAGAAGAGACAAATGAAGAGGACATTAAATCGAAAAATATCCGTCAAACAGGTATTTGCAGTATACTTCATAACTATTCTCTGTAATTTATATTGCTTTTAATAACTAAACACAAACATTTTACTTTTTTCAAAAAAAAAAAATGTCTTCATTGTTTATACACAACGTTTCGCGTATTCTTTACTCGCATCATCAGATATAAATATATCAATTATTTATTTGTATACATCTGAAAATGAAAAAAGACATAAATTTTGAAGATATTGTTCAAAATAGAATTAAAAATAAAAATTACACAGAAATCAGAGATGAAATTATATAATAAACTAGATATACTAGAACATCACACACTTTCTCGCACTATTGGAAAAAGTTACGTAATATCAAAATATTGCAATTTCTGCCCTAGTAGCAGCATAGCTATAACTTGAAAAAGATCTATTCAACAAATTGGATCGTAGAGCCTCTGGTTGTGCACCATCTGCATTTACTTAGATTGTCAGCAACAGTAGCCATATCTTACTTTTACAAATGAAACCAAATTGAATAAATCTGTTACAGTATTTGCATCACAAAATACAGAAAAGCAAGAATAATTTCACACAAACCTACCTTGATTACACTGTAGTGAGCTTTCAGATTTTTGGTACTGTAATCAATGATCAAAACGTCTTAAAGTAAAGAAGTGTGTTTGTCATTATCCGTTCACCTTGAGAAAAATCATCATGTAAAGAAATACACTTGTGTTAGGATGGTTTGCAGGATGAGCTCAGCTGTTGTGATACTATCGCTGAAGTAAATTGTTATCTATATAAAAACTAATTTATGTCATTCATTAAATTAACCTTGCGTCACAAATATTGCAACGGTTTTCAAAACCATTGCAAACTGCATGCGTGTAGCTGGGCTATAAGGTTAACAGCCTCTGACTGTTGAGCGTACCCAGCGAATCAACGAACGTGATGATCGACAAGGAAAAGGGGCGTGTGGGACGCGGCATTGTGAACGCTCAGCCAGAGCCGGCTGCAGCGACGCATTCCTCAGAATGGTCAAACATCTCTTTCGCACGGCAACCCCAATTTTTTGCACCGTAGCGTAGCGCGTGGCGAGAGGAGAGGGAGACCGCAACCCTGGCGCGCAGGGGATGACGGAGGGGTTGTACGAAGCTCGCACCTCGCAACGCCATCCTCGCTGTTGCTGCCTTTGGCGGCCCTGCGTAATAAACTTCGCAGGAATAGTGTTATACGTGCTAAAAGCTGGCTGACTTTGATTCGGAGCGAGACCTACTATATATGATTTTGAAAAAGTTCACAAAGCGAAATGTAAAATTATTCGTAAAGCAATTTACGAGAATGAAGGAAAACTTACCCTTGTAACTTTTATTATGCTGAAGAGCATTATGCGATTTACAGAGCTTTTGTAATTGGAATTCAGAACAATCTGAATAAGATTCTGGCACAAGTTGGACGTTTCCTATCTACCTTAGCGGCGAATTTCCTTGGCACATGGTCAGAGGATTTTAGTGACGATTCGGAGGCGTTTTTGCAGTAAGAATCTCCTGCGCTGAATCCCGATCCTCCATGGGTAGTATATAAATAGGGGCTCTTAAGGTGCATTTACACGAAGAGACGAAGTCTCCTAACTTCATGACGTCACTCTCTCTGACGGCTTTACACGGTTCGAAATATCTCCCGAAACGCGAGTCTCCTGACACACGGGAGAGTTGTTTCCTGAGATATCTCCGAAAAAGTATCTCCTTGCTGTTTACACTTGATACAAATGTCTCTCGATGTTCTCCGGCGCAGCCATCTT